TATTAATAATATAAATTAATAATTGACTTTTAAGAGCAATAAGGTTAATTGTAAAAAATTACTTGGATATAAGTCTGCTAGATGTATCAATTTTCTCTCATCATAAGCAAGGAAGGAATCACTTGGGTTTAAGCATGTCACACAAAGAAGCAGTTCAGTATTCGATTAAAAAAATTATTATTTTGCTTTTAAAATTGCATGTCAATTACAATATAAAATAACTCAACACAATAATGATGCAGGTTTGATATTTTTCTTCACTCTTCGCATTGATCAATGATGAGTTTTGTATGTGCCATTTATCTTTGGAACATCATCCTTAAAAACACTATAAAATGTGACACTTCATATAGTTAAATACTCCATCCATTTTTGCTTAGTATATTTAATCGTTGTTTATATATTTGCGCCAATTTTATTACATTTTTAATGTCTTGATATTACTTTGTAATGGATGTGATAACTCATTTGTAATCTTTAAAATATCAATCATTAAATGCATTAAGAAAATAAAATCAAAAGATTATGTTATATCAATCAGAACACCTAATTCAACTGATTGTTGATCAACAATGGAGGCAGGCAAGGTTCTACAGGGGCACGTGCCCCCTCTACAAAAAGAAAAAAAACCATACTTGGAGATGGCTCAGCATTTTGGGGGTTTGACATTTGCTCGCCCTAATACTTTGGCCTCAAATGTTCTCGCAAGTCACGCGGCATAGGCAGTCCTCGTCTCTTTGCCTCTACCTCAGGCCTCCACGGCTCCACCGGTGCGTCCAGCCGGGTCGGTAGCCTTGCATTTGGATTTTGCGCAAGAAGAATATCTCGAAATGGTGCATCTAGCAGTTTGTACCCGTGTATTCGCATATTCTCTCCCTTCTTCCATATTCGATCCAGTAGTTCGCACTTGAAGTCCAGAAGGTAAGAAACTCTCAAAATCTCTTGCGATTTTGTTTTAGTTTTCTATATAAGATATCGTTAGCAAGAATTTTGTTTATTATTTTCAAATTGGGATTTTGTTTGTTGTTATTGTGCTTAGCTTCCTTTAATATTGTACAAAGTCATGCTGAGCTCAGATTGTGATTTTATTTGCTAATTGATGTTATCGTGCTTATATCAGATTGTGAAAAAGGTTGTTTGATTAGTGCATCCAAATCTGATTATTTTTAGTGTATTGATTCATACATTAAAGGCTTTGTTCATAATTTATTTTTTCTTTGCTTTTTAAGACCTATTATTATCAATTTATCACAATTTTGATTCACTTGGGAAACATATTGTAATTTTTTTTACTATTTGTTGTTGTCATTTTATATATTTTAGGGATTTTTTTATAAAGTTTGGCCTCCTCTATGGAAAGTTTCTGGCTCCGCCACTGCTATTGATCTTCTTTTTTTAATAATAATCTCAAACACCTCGATTGCAGAAGCATTTATTCTCATAAGATTAATCAAATAATGAAAATGTAAACTCCATCGAGTATCATTAGATCATTATAAATTAGTTACTTGATTTAAACCTTGATCGCCTAGTAGATTGTCATCTTTAAGATATAAAAGTATTTTATCATGCTGAATAGCTTTAAAATTATATGATCTCTTACATGAAGTCTCAATAGTATTTATAATTCTAGAAGTAAACTCAAATATATATTTCACTTGTCAATGATTCTTCTATACTGTCATCAAGTATAGTTGAAGTTAATGAACGAAATAATAAATATAAAATGTTTGATGATTATTATTAATAATAAGTGCCTTCAAACTATTAAATTCTCCTTGCATGTTAGATGCCCCATTATAACCTCAACCATAGATCTTATGGATGCTCAACAAGTGTTTCACAAGTATGCTTTCATTGTTTGCCTTCATGGTTACTGCATGAGTCAATGGAAATGTGTAATGCCTATAAACCTTTCAATGATTTGTCTCACCTTATCTACATATCTCACTACAATATCTAGTTATTATTTCATAGAAACGTCTTTACATTCATCGACTATAGTTGAGAAGAAGAAGTCACCTATATCTTTTATAACATATACCAAAGTTTCAATAGCAATAACAGAGAAAATTCCTTTAAGAACTTTTGGTGAAGTTAACTTTGAATTGAAGCATGCATATGTAGAGGTAACTTTTTAATTTCTTCATTTTGGTTAGTAAGGAAATCAAGTAGCTCTAAATAATTTTCTCGATTATTTGACTTGGATGACTCATCATGCCCACAAAATAATAAGCATTGATGTAAGAGAAATCGAATACAATCTATTGCAACAGTCAACATGTCACTGTAATCTTTTTATTTTTATCATCTTTGCTTAATCATAAAGTAAGAAGCTTGTGTTCTTGATTCTTCAGTAAATCTTGTCATTTGTGTTTGGCTTTGTTATGCTCACCATTATTCTTTCCAACATAACTTAATAGTTTCTTTTTCTTCTTCCAATTTCTGAATCCTTCCCCAATAAAAGAGTCACATGAGGTTGGCCTTTAATAATTTCTTCTTAGGGCTTGAAAAAGTAGCAATAAAGACAAAAAATGACATATTTGCTACACTCAGTACTCTAACCAATCTCATATTCATCAAACCATTTAGGTATAAATATGCATTCAATATTTTCAATTCATGTTTGATGGAATTATTGACTTCTCGTTTGATGAGGTCCCTTCAAAATATAATTTCTTCGAATTTTGTCTCTATCATTTACAACCTTAAATCATGCTTAATTTCTTATCAAGAATTTATTGATAAAATATTAAAATAAAATGAATGATATATATATTTTTGTTTCATATAAATCCATTATATTTTATTTTAGTAACAAAACTTTTTTCAAATGTACTAAGCAACATTTTTAATTTTACTATAGCATATTAAACCTTTTTAAGGTTTAGATATATTTTATCTTGGAAAATATTCTTCTACACGTACTTGTAAACTAAAATATTATAAAGAATACATTTATTTGATGAACATTTATCCACTATCGTAGCTTTTGAGAACAAAATCACCAAAGCTTTTGAATATCCCATCACATAAATGAAAGGAAGAGCATATTCTTCTCGAATCAATGAAATCAATGACTATTTCAAAATTCTAAATCTCATCATTTGATACAAGATCTAAAAATCAAAATTACCTATTCTCACATCTATCTCTTCATAGATTAATCAAAGATAAAATCCTTCAAATCGCAAAAAATGATTAATAAAAAATAAGTAAAATTAAATATAAGATAAACATTGAACACCTTAGGAAGATGAAGATTGAAGATTAAGCTGAAGAACGAAAGAAGACACTGGCTATGAGCATGTTGGACGGCTACTCTAGTGGATGACCTTCATAAAAATAATACATGAGTTTTATAAAAAAATACTCTTTTGAAGGCTTAATCTAAACTGTTAAATATATATGGATTAAAATATTTTCAATAATTTAATCTTTAATTAAATAATTGATATGTTTCTTTTCAGGTTCTAAAGTAAAATATTGTCACTATGTATTCATAGTTCTCCTTTCTAGTTACTATGAATCATATAGTAATTAAAAAATTGAACAATTAGATTCTAAGACAATGAACTCTGTACATTTGAGATTGCATATTTCAATAGTTGCTATTACTATAATAAATAGAATATTTTTTATAATGTGAATTACCCAATATCAGTTGTGTAATAAAATAGGTGATGACTAGCTAGATGATTATTCAGTATCATAAATTGAGAATGAAATATTTGATTTGATTTTCAATAAAATTGTAATGCAAGATTATAAAAAAATTAAATAGTTTGAAAAGCTTATTATACAAAATTAATATAAGACTTGCTTCGAATTATGATATATATATATATAAGCTGAGATCGTCCAGCACGCGAAAGTGGGACAGCAACGTCTCCGGTGACACTGACGAGGCGGACACAGATGGCTAACAGCCTAAGCGGGTTGCATCTCTTCAAGCCTTTGGTGGACTCGACGAACTCATAAGGCTACGTCCGATCCGAGTTCAGGTTGATTTCTGGGTCAACCCCAACCCGACCCATTTTGCAAACAGGTCAAAATCCCCAACCCGAACTCGTTCGGGTTCGGGTTGACCCAAACCCAAAATTTTCGTGTCGGGTTCGAGTCGGATTTTCGGATCATGTCAAATATTGACACCCCTAATTTCAATAGTTGACAAAAAGGGTAATATGAAATCTCTAAAGAAGAAGAAATTTTGTGTGTTGGCAATGGATGCATTAGACACATAGATGTGAAAGTATCCAAACAATAACTGTAGATGATGTGAGAGAGTAGCTGGATTTCTTTATTGAATGAAGTATTTTAATCTTTTTGAATGTTTTAAATATGAATTCTATATTTAAAGCTAATTGACGATCAATATAAAGCTTCGTTTGGGACAGTTTTCTTACTGCTTCTTAAAGCAGCCTTATAGTACAAAAATTTAAGCAATAAAAAAGCCATTCCAAACGAAGCCAAAGTGAAGAAATAATAATGTTGCATAATTTTTATGTTGGGTTATTTTAAACTATAATTGATATGCAACTTTAATTGCTAAATTAATGATTCCCTAAAGTTAGTATTGACTTGATTCACTATGTTGCATGCTTAAATTGAAATAATTCATTTTTCACTTATGATATTGAAAAAATTATTTATTTTGCAGAGTTATATTCAAGTAATTTTTTCAATAATTGAATTTATGATATTTTAACATCAGCAATCAACTTGTATTATTGACATGTGCATTAGTGACAGATTCTCATCCTTGAGCATCATAACTAATTTTCCAAAACAAATTATTAAGATGAAAAAATATATGGTGAATTCATAATTTATTAATTCTTTTAAATTAGTGTAATACAAAATTTTAACCAACAATATTAATATGTCAAAACAAAAACTGAAACTGTCAGTCTTGAATTAAATAGGTGACGTATAAAAAAATATATAAAAAGCTTAATAATAATAATAATAAACTGTGAACATGCGAATGCCAAATTTCTCGCAGTCCATCAAAACCGCTAATTTAAGCCGATTGATTCGTAATTCCCGCCCGAGCTATCGATGAGCTCCCACTCTTCGCTCCCGTCAATCTCTCCAAATCTCCCACTTTTCTTCCGACGCAGTGGACAACACGCCAAGAATCCGAAGGGATTGCTCCCGCCGATTAACCTTTTTCTGCTCGCAGATACTCTAATTCCTTGCCCTAATGTTACGAAAGGATTGATCTTTTTGATTATTTTCCCTTGTTAGGGTTCTGCTTAGACGGTGGGCTTGCAAAGATTCGTTTGTAGTTAGGGGTTTGCGCTCTTCTGCTTTCTGAGCTAGAGATCAAATGGATTCTGGCTCAGGAAAGGACGGCGAGGCCGCAGAATCTTCTTCGCACAAAGAAGAGATTAAGCTCGTTTCGTCGAAATCAGAGGCGTCTGTACGAGATGCGAGTGTTGTGATTGATGTGGATCCGATTGGAAGAAGCTTAGAGGGAGCTGAAGACACATGCAGGGGCAATGAGGAGGAGAGGATGTGCAGGGTGTGCCATTTGGCCTCCGATTGCACATCTCAATCTGGTGTGCTGATTCAGTTAGGTTGCAGCTGTAAGAATGATCTTGGGACTGCTCATCGCTTCTGTGCTGAACGCTGGTTTTCTACCAGAGGAAATAGGTGAGTTTTGGTATACTTCTTTCTTACTGTAAGTTCTCAATTGTAATTTTTTTTTTGGTAAATTTACGTAATGTTGCTGTGAATCCAACTTTACTGAAAAAAGGTTTTGAATCAACCTAGCAAATGCTCAAGTTTATGGATGCTCTTATACCGGAGATCAAAACTACCAGGACCTATGCCCTGATGTTTTATTCATTTGCCTTCTGGGATATCTAAAGTGTGTACTATTATTAATGACTTGATGACTCAAACTCACAGTCCTCCCACTAGATCTATTACTACTAAAATTAACAAAAAAAAAAAAAAAGAAAACAGAACATTGTTGCCATCAATAATTTCCTTCAATAAAATCAAGATGAACAAATATCCTTTAAAAATTCCCAAAGCCTTTAAGAAATGATAAAAAAAAAAAACTTTACAACTGAGAAAATCCAATGAACCCTAAGAGATAAATATGAATGACGGACTTGTATCAAGAGAAAAATAATCAATACTTGGAGGACTGGAAGTGTTGTATGCTAAGAAAGGAGATAAAGATCTCAAATAAATAATCTTTTATCTTTGATTTTAGATAAATCATTGGTCAAATATAACATACCTTGGAAACAAAATGAAATGAGACGAGAGGAGAAACATTTGCCTTTAAGAAGAAGCATCTTCTCTCGTAGTTCACATTGGATAGGTGTCTGTCTCAACTCACACTTGCTTGAAGATTTCGGACTTGAATGGCCGAGGATTGAAAGGAGGTTTTCTTGCTCGGGAAATCATGAGCTTTGGAAAAGAACTAAAATGTTTGTGTTTGGGTTTAGAGCAATAGGATGAGTCTCGTGCTCCAACTTAAGTGTTATTGGTTGAATCGCATAAATGCTTATTGTAAGTAAATTATAGGAATAAGATACAAGAAATTTGAAAACGGTTAATAAATTTATTTTAGTTTAATAAATTATTAAAAAAAACATTGGTCAATTTTCAAATTAATCGAGTGGCTCGTCAAGTTTATGAGTTGAGTTTGGCTGTGCTTAATCTCGAGCTTGTAGGATATAGGAGCTTGAGTGTGAGCTCGAGCTTGAATTCGTGGCTCATTAAATCAACTCATGAGCTCATTAGCGAGTCTAGTTTGAGTTGCTCATGAGTCATCTTGGCTCACTTACACCCTATGCAAAATTGCAGCTAGTAAAAAAAGTACAACAATAACAACAACATCAAGCCTTTATCCCACTACATAGGTTCAGCTATATGAATCATTTTTCTCCATTGTGTTCTATTAAGAGTCAAATTCTCAATTAAATTAAAAAAATAAAAGTCATTTTTAGTATTTTCTAAGTCTTTTAGGTCTACTTCTACATCTCTTAACATAGGTCAAGTTTAATACGTCTACTCTCCTAACTGAGTCATCAGAAGGTTGACATTTTATATGATCAAATCATCTAGGCGACTCTCTAATCTTATTTGCCACTAGAGCTACTCTAACATTTTCACGTATATGCTCGTTTCACATTCTATCTCTAAGAGTAAAGTCACTCATCCACCCGCAAATCCTCATCTCTGCAATACTTAATTGTATGTTTCTCTTTTAATGGTCAACATTCTGCTCCATAAAGTATTGTATATCTCACCACCATCTTATAGAATTTTTCATTAAGTTTGAGGGGTACTTTTCTATCACACAATAGGCCTGATACATTCCTCCACTTCAACCATCCGACTTGAATTCTACTAATAATATTCCTATTTGTTTCACTATCACTCAGAACAATAGACCTAAGTTATTTAAAATGTGTGCTTTTATTAATGAGTTAATTCCCAAAGTCAGTCCCCCAATTAGATCTATTACTACTGAAATTACACTCATTATATTTGATTTTAAATCTACTCAAACGAAAACCTTTCGACTCTAAGATTGACCTCCATAACTAAAGTTTACTCCCCCTCTAGTCTTATCAACTAGAAGAAATATCATCAGCAAAAAAACATATAATATGGTACCTCCTCTTGCAAAGGACTAGTAAGAACATTCATTGGCTAAAACAAGAATATATGAGCTTAAAGCTAATCCTTGATGTAATCCAACCGAAATAGGGAAATTCTTGGTTCAATCACCTTGTGTTTAAACAAAAGTAATATCTCTTGCATACATATCTTAATGACTTAAGTATAAACATTATGATGTAAAACATAAATGCCATTTACTTTCCTAGGTGGCAAGATTAATTAAATCCCAAATCAATTTGGGGAGAGAGAATGAAAATTTGAAATTAAATTTCAAATTAAGTGGAATTGGCGGGATGAATTTGAATTTAAATTCAAATTTAATGGGGAGAATTAAATTGGATGAGAGGGAATTGTGGGAGGTAATTAGGGAGGCTTAATGAGGGGGGCTATTAATGAGATAGGAGAGAGATTATGCCCAATGAGGGGGCCGGCCACATAGAGAGAGGGAGGATGTTATTTGTCATAAGTAGAGTGGGGCCCACATTACTAATCAAAGATTTAATAAAATCTGAATTTCTATATATAGGCCTAAGAAACTAAAACAAGACACATATGCCCCTAAGGCTTACATAGGACGACCCTCTTAAGTGAGGGTAAAAACGGAAAATTTATAATAAAAATTTAAAAATTACAAATAAAATATAAGATAACGTGGGACGATGACAGCCGTTGATCTTCAGCTCCTCGGATAGCCATGGACGGTTGGATGTCCGCATCACATTATTAACCCCTTTCTTTTCTAAAACTCTCCATTGCGCTTCTCTTCTAAACTTTATCATAAGCTTTCTCTAAATCAACAAAAAAACATATGTAGATCCTCCTTATTTTCACTATACTTCTCCATCAAATCTCTCAATAAATGTATAACTTCCTTAGTAATTCTACCCGGCATGAATCTAAATTGATTTTGATAAACATTAGCATCACGACATAACCTATGCTCAATAACTCTCTCCCAAAGTTTTGAACTATGAACATTAACTTAATTCTTCAATAATTTGCACACTCTTGTGCATCACTTTTATTCTTAAAAATAGTATTAAAATGTTTGGTAAGCCAATAAATTTGTTCATCTCTTAAGCATTATTGGAATATCATCAAATCCAACAGCTTTTTCACACTTCATTTTCTTTAAATCCTCTTTAACTTTGGTTTTACTAATATTCCGATAGAAACAACAATCTCTACTTTCATTTAGGGTGTTAAGATCACTATAGTCAGTCGTATTATCACAATCTTCATTGAAAAGCTTAACAAAATATTTTATCCATATTTGTTGAATATTTTCTTCTAATAAAATAACTTTTTGATCTTCATGCTTAATGCATTTCAATTGAGTTAAGTTTTTTACTTATGCTATCTCTTTACAACCCTCAGCATCTAACCAATTATATAAATTATTAAAGTTAAATTCTTTGCATCACATATTGCTTTCTTAGATTTCTTACGGGCATCTTATATATTTTCCAATTTTTCGAGTTTTTACATTCAACCCAATTTTTATAATAAAGCTTCTTATTTTTTATATTTTCTTATACTTTTTTATTCCACCGCTAACTATTTTTACTATTAGGACATTTTTCTTTTGATACTCCTAACACATCCTTTATAATATTCTTAATATTACTAGCTATTTTTTTTCACATAAAATTAGTTTCTTCATTCACAATTAAAATCTTAAGATCTTGAATCTTATTTTTCAAAAATAATTTTGTTAATATTCTTTAAATGCCCCCATCTACTCCTAGGATAGTATTTACTTTATTTTTCATATTCCACTCTTCATAAATTAACTGCGGTACTTTCTCATGATTTCATCAGATTTTTCATAAATCAGTGGTTGCTTCGATTTGCACCCATCTCAATTAGAGGCAAAGGGATAAAATCTCCACCAAGCATGCATAAGATTCATTAAAAAAACCATTTGATTGAATTAATTGTTACTTATCTAGCTAAAACATTAAAAAAGCTCATTTTTTTCCTACTGCTTCAAGACTATATACACAAAATTTTGTATTGTAATTACAGGGTGTGCCTCATTACATATTTTCGCATTACTTGTTTATGAAAGTTTCATGATTCCTATTCAACAATTTTACATTAGGCAATAGGCAGATTGATGATTTAGGTTTTTGCTAGATCCCGGAACTGTATAGCCTTTCCATTATAGAAATACTGAATCTTTTACTTCTGTAATATGCTTCTGGACCACTGGTGGCTTTTACAAAATAATAAATAAAAGCCACGCAGTGTGCAGGAAGTCATATTACAGGAAGTAAAGATAGTTAGTTTCTAATATGGAAAAGGCTATACTGAGTTCCGGGATTAGCCAAAAACTATGATCATCAATCTGCTAATGCCCTAATGTAATTGTCTGATAGAATCTGAAAATTCATCACAGTTAATGCGAAAATATGTAATGAGGCACAACCTTAATACAATATCAAATTTTGGTAAATAGTCGTTGAAGCCTGTAGGAAACTAAATGAGCTTTATTAATATTTTAAGCTAGATAAGTAAACGAATAATCAATCAAGGGTTTTTTTAATGATCTTATGACATGCTTGTGGAAGTTTTATTCTTGCTTGTATATTGAGATTGGTGCAAATCGATAGCAAACTTGATTTAAGAAATTGATGAAATCATGAATTACAACCGCGCGTTTCTTATGAGGTGGAATATGAATAAATAAGTAAATGTATCTAGGAGTAGATGGGGCATTTAAAGGATAACAATCTAACAAAAATTTTTTGAAAAATAAGATTCAAGATCTTTAAGAATGTTTGATTTGAATGAAGAAATATTTTTATGTGAAAAATATAGTACATAAGAATATTATAGATTGTTAGGATATCAAAAGAATAATGTCCTAATAGAAAAATAGTTAGGTTGAATAAATGATATAAGAATATAAAAGATAGAAGCTTTATTATAAATTTAGTTTGATGTAAAAACTCGATAAATTGAAAATAATATAGATGCGTACAGAATCTATAGAACAAAATATG